AGATCTTTGGGTTATAAACTTACATTTCAAGTTTCAACAAAATCGGATAAAAATTGTGACCTTTATAGGGTCCACAAGCTAAAAACGTGATTTTTCGTACAAACAGGGGCCATAATCCATGAAGTTTCGATCCGATACATGCCAATATCGAAAGCAGCCAAGATCTTTTGGGGATAAACCTATATTTCAAGTTTCGTCGAAATCGGATAAGAATTGTGACCTGTAGAGAGTCCACAAACAATTGTGGACGGACGGACAGGGGCGACGGCATAATACGTCCACATGAAAATGTGGGCGTATAAAAATTGTGACCTCTATAGGGTCCACAACCTTGATATACCATATTTTTACGCTATTTGAGAACGAACGACGGCCATTTTGTCTGTCAATTTTAGGCCGATTTTCACGAAATTCGAACTCAGTCTTCCTTATGGTGTAACGGTGATATAATAATACAGTTTTTTAAATCGGATAAAAATTATGACCTCTATAGGGTCCACAAGCTAAAAACGCGATCTTTCGTACAATCAGGGGCCATAATTCAGGAAGTTACGGTCCGATATGCACGAATATCGAAAGGAACCGAGATCTTTGGGTTATAAACTTACATTTCAAGATTCAACAAAATCGGATAAAAATTGTGACCTCTATAGGGTCCACAACCTTGATATACCATATTTTTACGCTATTTGAGAACGAAGGGCAGCCATTTTATCTGTCAGTTTTTGGCCGATTTTCACGAAATTCGAACTCAGTCGTCCTTAGGGTGTAACGGTGATATAATAATATGATTTTTTAAATCGGATAATAATTATGACCTCTATAGGGTCCACAAGCCAAAAAACGCGTTTTTACGTACAATCAGGGGCCATAATTCAGGAAGTTATTGTCCGATATGCGCGAATATCGAAAGGAACCAAGATCTTTGTGTTATAAACTTACATTTCAAGTTTCAACAATATCAGATAAAAATTGTGACCTCTACAGTGTTCACAAGCCAAAAACGTGATTTTTCGTACAATCAGGGGCCATAATCCATGAAGTTACGGTCCGATAGATGCCTATATAAACCTATATTTCAAGTTTCGTTGAAATCGGATAAAAATTGTGACCTGCAGACTGTTCACAAACAATTGTGGACGGACGGACGCGACGACAATATACGTCCACATGAAAATGTGGGCGTATAAAAATGATTTACTTTGTTGTTTATTTGCCGGGAGAAAGGGTGGCCACGCAGAAAAACTATACTAATTAAAAATACATTATGTGTCCCGAAAGTAAACTAAGTCGTGTGGACAACTCCACCAACGTATTACTATATCCAGAAATTATGCTAAGTCGTGTGGACGACTCCACCAAAGTTTTACTATATCCAGAAATTATAGTTTTGCCGGGAGAAAGGGTGACCACGCAGAAAAAGTATACTTATTAAAAATACATTATGTGTCTCCACCAACGTATTACTATATCCAGAAATTATACTAAGTCGTGTGGACGACTCTACCAACGAGTGTGGACGACTTTACCAGATTTTTCGTGTGGACGACTTGACTGGCATTGTATTTAAAATACAGTATATCGTAATGCACATGTATGACAAATGAATTTTTTTAATACTCTTTCATGTAGATCATATCTTACTTTTGATAAGCTTACCTTTTAATATGTTATTAGCACAGTACATTGTTTTTATCAGATACAAAAGAGGGCAGCAAGAGCTATTCTTGATGCACCGATTGAAACTCCGTCCACCTCTTTATTTACTAAACTCGGTTGGCTTACCCTTACACAGAGGATTCTTTACAATAAAATTGTCTTATCATTCAAAATTATTACATTTAATACTCCACTTTATCTAAATTTCTATTTTATAGAAAAATCTCTTGTTTCCAAAACGGATATCTTGCTCCGTTCACAGACCAGTAAATCTCTTTTTCTTCAAAAATGCAAAACGGAATCCATGAAACGTACTTTTCATTATTCTGCATGTCTTTTATGGAACAATCTGCCTTTTGATATAAAGATGTGTAAAAATGTTGAAAATTTTAAGATTAAACTGAAAACTCATTTATTTTGCACACTGAAGGAACCATAATATTCAACTGATGACATACTTATTATTTTTAACTTGCAACTGCATTCTATTTTATTTTGTGTGTAATTATAGTGTTCTTCCTATATTCTACTTGTATAATGTATATGTTTTGTAGTTTGGGAGTGACTTATCAAACTTCCCACTTTAAAATGCTATTGCATTTCTAATGATTTTAAATTTATCCTGATATTACATGTATATATGTCTTTGTAGTTTAGGAGGGACCTATGGAAGATTAGTTGGGTTTTTTTTGCAAACTAAATACGTTGCCTCATTAAATAAAGTTTTTATTATTATTATTATTATCATGATACTCATTGTTTAGGATTATTTGGACTCTATTAAGATATTCAAATGTTTTAATTATGTCTATGTTACTGTTTTATTTTGAAATTGTAGTGATGTTGATCACAAAAATATAGCGGTTACATAAATCATAGTTTAATTGTTAATTTTCATTCCTGAAACAATCTCAAATTGATGTACATGGCAGCTTATAAACAACTAAAGTAGTTGGTGTGGCAAAGGCGGCAAATCTGCCAAAAGCTTACAGGTTTATTTCTCATTTTGCCACACACTTTCGATGATTTTTAAAAATATCTACAGTATAAGTTAGTATAAACGGTTTATAATTATTTCATGACTGTGAATGGCCAGTGGTCAATGGCCTCGGGACCAGTAGGTGCCCAATTACATAAACTTGTTTCCTCTCGACATTGACATCAAACGGTCAAAAATTGCAAAAAATAAATAATAGAACAGACTGAAAACACTTTTATGTCTGCTTATTCATTCAAAAATTCGCCTCTGTATTAATGTCAAAGCGATACAATTTAAGTACACACAAATTTGTCCATTTTTTTTGCTGTGATTTGTGCGAAATCGGCACGGATCCCAACTTTGAACCTCTGTAACATAAAAAGTATATATACTAGAATATTATAGCGACAATTGGCTTTACCAAGTACATCTAGATCTTTAATTAGTGCAATTAGACCTTTCTTGTATAGTTACTGAGATATTGGCTTCGGTCAGTTTTTTGCGTTTTTAAAAAAAGCCGTTTTTTAGTGCCTCTGGTTTGCCTTCTTTAAAACACTATAACTTTTTTAATTTTCAATATTTTTTCAAATTTTTTTCAGATTATTCATTCTAGATAGTTCACAATTACAGTATCACTATCATTGTCATTTTTGAGTCATTGGTTGTATCATCTGAAAACCCGTTGGCAATGCTACAATAATAGCGCCACACATTCTACATTTATCAGATACTAAAGTCATCAACATTTAGTGTCTTTGACTTCTACATCATTAAATAACAGGCCCCGTCTCCTGATTTCTTCGAATTTCAGATCCGACTGGTCTTCCGGCCATAGTCTCATTATTTTCAAAAGATTTTTGCTTTGCGGCCTCTGAATAAAATGTGACAATCTTCGATATAAATACAATTAATTTCAAAGAAGCAATCGGTATTTTAATATTATACAGAGAAAAATATACTAACCGTCTCCTGGACTCGTTGTTTTTTTCTCAAATTTAGACATTTTGATTTAGATTTACAGAAATTGAATCTTTCTCTACTGCCTGAAATGCGGTTGACTCGATGTAGCCTCGGTGTGGGGAAAGAGCGGGCAGGTGCTTGAAGGGAGATAATGCTGTTTTATATAGACATGTTCAGACCAGTCTTATAGTAATGGAGTTAATTATTTATTCATTATTTGTAGTGTTGGCTTCCACAGATTCTATTATTAGCCATTAATGCCATATCCTTTTTAATTACACTAACATCTTAATGTTAATGAATATATTTGGAATATTATAATGAATATTTATTACAAAATATCGTTTTCTCTATTTATCAAATCATATCAAATGAAGTTAGCCTACGAACCACAGTAACCCGCAATTTCTAAATTATGGTAACAGCTAGGGGCGGATTGGGTCCGGGAACCGGCCCGGGCTCTCGTGTCGGAGCGATGGGTCCGGGGGCCCTCCCCTCTGAAAATTTTGAAAAATGAACCCCAAATATGCGATTTGATGGCATCTCTGAAAATAACGAGTTAATAAAAATGTTTAACACCAGCCTCAGGAAATCGTCTCGCACTCATATATGCAGCCAGCAGACCAGCTATCATCAAATTTTGCTGAGCCCTTAAAATTGAATTTTTTTTGGGAGTTACGAACCATCGGCAGACGTTTCTGGCGTATCCCCACAAACAGGTTGCAGGTAACTTAAGTAGCCTAAATTTGCGGGCGACATTGTCGGGTGAATCCGATGAATTTTTCGGATGGAATTCGGAATCCCCATTGCAGGATTCCGAATTCCGGCCCACATCAGTACACCATCGGCAGAAATGTATGCCGATGGTTCGTAACTCCCCAAAAAAATTCAATTTTAAGGGCTCAGCAAAATTTGATGATAGCTGGTCTGCTGAACACATATGACTGAGTGCGAGACAATTTCCTGAGGCTGGTGTTAAACATTCCTTGAAACATTTTTATTAACTCGTTATTTTCAGAGATGCCACCAAATCGCATATTTGGGGTTCATTTTTCAAAATTTTCCGAGGGGAGGGCCCCCGGACCAACCGCTCCGACACGGGAGCCCGGGCCGGTTCCCGGCCCCAATCCGCCCCTGCTGATCAGTGTGCCTTAACCCTATTTCAGTACAGTGTCAGTTGTTGATAACCTTCTTCTTCGACTTCCCTTAAAGATTCGACGGGTTCCAATTGGAACGTAGTTGAATCTGGATAACCTTACTCGCAAAGCTAGGTCAACAGGTTGTTTAGGGAATTGCTATTGAAGGAAAATCGCAATAAAGTTGTGATTTCAACTGTCAGATTTGGAAATAAACAAAATAAACAAAAATGATGATAAATGATTATTATTTGAATTAGTGCGTTTTTTTATTTAAATCAAACAAACTATTCCCAAATTTTAACCAACCATCAACTGAGTTTATTGACTGGAAATCCTAGTGGTATTGATGAAATATTTTTAGCTCTTTTACCGGGTGTATATTTTGGATACTAAACATTATATAATATAATATAATGTACGAATCAAACGAAAAGGACCAAGATGATGAATCTGACCACTTTAAGACAACTTTTAAGTTTTATAAAGCTAAAAAACCTATGCCAGATTTGTCAGATGTTCTCGATTTTGAAACAGAAGCAGAAAATCCAGATGGAAGAATTTCCAAATTCGTTCTTCAGATTCCCAACAAAGACATGGTACAAATTGATGGATTTAAGCCTGTAGAAGAATGGAAAGCTTATTCCATTAAAAACAACCCCGGATTCATTTTTATTGTTAATCCATTTAAAGATGGTTATCAAAAATATTGGGTTCATCGATGCTTGAGCGATTATCCAGAAGCAAGAAATAAAGCAAATCTTGATATTCAACTTGATGCTGACAGAAGATCAAAATTATGGGAAAACTTTGTGAATACTGATCCAGAAACTCTTGGTAAAAATGATGAAATAATGGGATTAAGATGGACGACATTAGGTTACCATTATGTGTGGAATAATAAGGAATATCATAAAGAAAGACGAACACCCATGCCTGAAGATCTTGAAATATTATCTAAATATGTTTCCCAAACTATCAATTACCCACAATACTGTCCTGAAGCCGGCATCGTAAATTATTATCATCTGGATTCTACTCTTGGTGGGCACACAGATCATGCAGAATTTGAACAAGGAGCACCTTTAATTTCTTTTAGCTTTGGGCAAGAAGCTATTTTTCTGCTTGGAGGCTTAACGAAAGAAGTAAAACCTACACCCATGTTTCTTAAGAGTGGTGATATATGTGTTATGTGGAAAGAATGTAGACTTGCTTATCACGGGATTCCCAAAATATTAGCACCCAAATTCGATGGTTATCCGTTGTCTCTGAATTCTGATGTTCAAGAAACGGCTGATAATATTAAAATACAAAAGGAAAGTAATATTGATGAAACAGAGAAAAAAATAATTTCCATCAATGAACATATGGCTGATGTTCTTAAAAAAATAAAATGGAAGCCCTACAAATTGTACATGAGTTACTCCAGAATAAATCTAAATACAAGACAGGTTGTTTCTGAAGACAAAACCTTTTCATAACTATTATACCTCTAAATTTTAATTTTAAATAGCATGGCACGCTTCATGTTTTAAATGGAATAAAGCTGTGACCAATGTGTGATATGTTTAAATGGAAAACATAGTTTTTGTTATTATGACTAAGCTTATATCTTTAGCTTGCACTACAGGAAAACATGTACATAATAGGAAATCAAAGAAATGAAATGGGGTTTTACAGCCTACTTTTCTGCACCAACTGGGCTATTGTAAGGGCAGAATTTAAAAAAAAAACCAATATGAACTTTCTCCCTAAATCTGGAACTAATGCATTTATCCCTGACATTTTGTCGGGTACAACTTAAAACAATATTTCCTAGCCTGTCTGTCCCAAATTGAAACCAGAAGTGAAGGTGACAGCCTCCGCCCCGAAATTGTTTTGAAGATCTCCAAAAAGAAAACTGAAAATAAGCACTGAATGCACCCAAATCTTCAAACAAAAATCCCCGCCCTTGACTGCAACATAAGCAATTTTGCGACGTTTGTAAACACTAGGATCTGACGTCACAATAAAAGTATAGTAAACATGTTCTTAAAGTTCACGTTATATGTGGTGCTTGTGTCTTTCCAAGTAAAACTGTGAACGAAAGATAGCTCCACAAAACCATCTGAAATTTACAATTTAATATCAGTATGAATCTATTTTAAACCTCGATGAGCAAACCCACCAAATTTGAAAAAATATGTCCAACAATATATGTCCATCCTGATCTTTGTCCTCAATAATTGTTGTTGTTAGTTAGTTGTATTTTACATCTGCTTCCACCGAGGTGATGTCGCAGACAAAATGTTTACAAGCATTTAAATTCAAAATCTGACTTGAAAGATAACTCTTCAAATCACTTTCAAATTAGCAATTGAAAAATTTCGAAAATGTACACAATACTACCAATCTGATTAAAATACAGATCTTTATATTATGACCCTATGACGTCAGACATTTGATTAACCAATCAGCATTGATGTTACTAGTGGATTACCCACAGTTCCGTGAAAAACACGCCTAAAGCTCGCCGTAACAGACCGTTTCATTGGCTTATCCCCGACACCATTCAGAACACGAGTTAAATAACAACTCTTCCAGATCCAAATGTAGTAAAGACAAGTAAAACGAAATTTTGAACTATAAAAACGAAACGAAATAGGATCTGTGTTTTAACCAGATTGCAATACTACCTTATACCCTAAAGATAGCTTGCCAGACAATGAAACATATGCTCAAAGAAGCTAAGTCATCCGAACAGATGACAAGGGTTGTCATGTTATATATTTTTTCTTTTGTTGGTAAAGAAAGCCTTTACAAGACACTAAATACAGTTTGCCAGCTAACTCAGACGAGCAGTTCACAGGTTTTCACATATTTTTTCTTTTTTTTTTTCAGTAATGAAAAGCATTTACAAGACACTAAAAACTGAATAAGAGTAATAAGAGCAACAATCCATTAAAGATACATTATGGGTGATTAGATAAAGAGCTGGCAGTTCTCACTATAATAGTTAAACACTAGATAATGTAAAGGGAATTTTCTGAAAATTTCAGTCAAATTGATCCACTCTGAACCAAGATTTTAGCGATTGAATTTTCGGCCTAGCCTTGATCATCATTACTAAAGTCGGTACGATAAAAAACATAGTTTTGATTATCCATTTAATCAATGGAAGTTGAGCAGCAAATCTTATCGTAATCCAGTAAATATCGCAGGCTAGCGTTGACATCGAGTGTTGATTATGGTCTGGATAAGTTAATGTCTAATTAATAATTTAGTTAACATTTCAGGCCCAAAGAAAGACCTGCAATAGGCAGATTTAGCTCTTGCATATGTATGTTTAAAGGAGCTAAGTCGCTAATATTTGGGACCTACAAATTGACACAAATGGGTCGCAACGCATACAATAATGTAATATTACATTCAAACGTTTCTATTTTTACTGTAATTTTTAATCAGTTGGGTGCGGCGAAATACCCAGTATTCTCAATCGAATTTCAATCTCTAGTATCTGGTTATTCCAGTCTAGACCGATATTATTTATTGGGCTTGCTCTCCAGATAAGTATATAGCGTCCCCATTTGAAATGACTTGTGGAATATGCCTAGTCTCGTTTTTCGAGTTCCTTATTACAAATAGTGTTGAAACGCGTTATGGTACACGATTCGTGTACCAATTGTAAAATGTTTATTTTGTCTTAAATATTGGATATCAGAAGCCCATCTTTTCCCGGTAAGATTACAACATCAATGTTGATTTAAACCGACAAATAAATCGTGTTTTTGATGTCGAAGATTTTGGAAGATATTGAGTTAGAGACTTAGCTACTTTAAGTATTGGTCAGAAATAATTAGAATTTGTTTGGTTTCTACATCTGCCCGATGCTCAACGCCGGATTAACCATGGGGCCCCCCACATTAGAGGGCCCCCCACAAAAATCACAGTTGTGCGCATCGAGCATGGTCGGACTGAGGACGCCAACGGCCGGTGACCTAGTGACGGGGCCCCTCCGATGCTCCAAGGGCCCTCTATCGGGAGTCCCTGGGGCCACATTCCCCAACGTTGAAGCAATATTGAGAATATATCTGTGTATGATGATATCTAATTGTTCTGGGGAGAGATCTTTCTCCAAATTTAAAATTATCTCCGGTCTACGATGGGTCAGGATAGGCTAGTGTATTTGGTTTGGCTGGCCTCTGAAAGCGATATCCTGCGCACCATCAATGCTGAAGAAACCATTACAAAATTCGCCAGGGGCAAAAAAAGAAGAGTGTTCATCCATTGATCATTATCATTCAGCTCTAACTCCGCATAACTTGACCCCTTATAACGCGAATTATCGCTAACTCGAACAAAATTCGTTGAACGAATATTTTCTTTCGTTTTCCTTTTATAAAACATCGAATAACTCGGAAACTGTACCTCGAATTATCGCATAGCTCGAACAAAATTTCCGGTACAGTCCTTATCGAAGTCTTATATTTACATCGCCTAACTCGAACTGTAAATAATGGATCTTGAAGGAGAGTGTGCCTTAGCAACTTTCACGGAAACTTGAAGATTTGAAAAATAAACGCTTTTTGTGGCTTTATCTAAGGGTGTAACACAAGGTCTTTTATTGTCGTGAGATCTTCTATAGGACCGAACATCGTCTAACTCGAATTATCGTATAACTCGAACAAATTACTCGTCCCATCATTTTGAGTAGCGCGAATTTTGCCTCAGATTGACGTACGATTGTATATAAGCTGTTGTTGTTGTTGTTGATATTTGTTGTGGGTATAAGCTGAATTTGATGAGATGCACATCATGATCACACGATTTCTTGATTAAATCTCGTATTACCATTTGGTACTTAGTGTTAGACGTTCGTCAAAAATCGAGTCCGGCTTGGTCAAACGTTGCGGCCCCCATTCGATATAATACGATTCCGAATCAAGTGATCCCGTTATTTATCACTGAGCGACTTCACAATTAGGTTTGATGTAGCTACGAGAACGTAGCTAAAAACGTTGAGATATACTGATGTGTTTGTTTTTAGCTACGATTGGATGCCTTTAGTTCCAAGTGGCAAACTCAATTTCTTTATAGTTTTGATTATCCATTTAATCAATGGAAGTTGAGCAGCAAATCTTATCGTAATCCAGTAAATATCGCAGGCTAGCGTTGACATCGAGTGTTGATTATGGTCTGGATAAGTTAATGTCTAATTAATAATTTAGTTAACATTTCAGGCCCAAAGAAAGACCTGCAATAGGCAGATTTAGCTCTTGCATATGTATGTTTAAAGGAGCTAAGTCGCTAATATTTGGGACCTACAAATTGACACAAATGGGTCGCAACGCATACAATAATGTAATATTACATTCAAACGTTTCTATTTTTACTGTAATTTTTAATCAGTTGGGTGCGGCGAAATACCCAGTATTCTCAATCGAATTTCAATCTCTAGTGTCTGGTTATTCCAGTCTAGACCGATATTATTTATTGGGCTTGCTCTCCAGATAAGAATATAGCGTCCCCATTTGAAATGACTTGTGGAATATGCCTAGTCTCGTTTTTCGAGTTCCTTATTACAAATAGTGTTGAAACGCGTTATGGTACACGATTCGTGTACCAATTGTAAAATGTTTATTTTGTCTTAAATATTGGATATCAGAAGCCCATCTTTTCCCGGTAAGATTACAACATCAATGTTGATTTAAACCGACAAATAAATCGTGTTTTTGATGTCGAAGATTTTGGAAGATATTGAGTTAGAGACTTAGCTACTTTAAGTATTGGTCAGAAATAATTAGAATTTGTTTGGTTTCTACATCTGCCCGATGCTCAACGCCGGATTAACCATGGGGCCCCCCACATTAGAGGGCCCCCCACAAAAATCACAGTTGTGCGCCTAGAGCATGGTCGGACCGATGACGCCAACGGCCGGTGACCTAGTGACGGGGCCCCTCCGATGCTCCAAGGGTCCTCTATCGGGAGTCCCTGGGGCCACATTCCCCAACGTTGAAGCAATATTGAGAATATATCTGTGTATGATGATATCTAATTGTTCTGGGGAGAGATCTTTCTCCAAATTTAAAATTATCTCCGGTCTACGATGGGTCAGGATAGGCTAGTGTATTTGGTTTGGCTGGCCTCTGAAAGCGATATCCTGCGCACCATCAATGCTGAAGAAACCATTACAAAATTCGCCAGGGGCAAAAAAAGAAGAGTGTTCATCCATTGATCATTATCATTCAGCTCTAACTCCGCATAACTTGACCCCTTATAACGCGAATTATCGCTAACTCGAACAAAATTCGTTGAACGAATATTTTCTTTCGTTTTCCTTTTATAAAACATCGAATAACTCGGAAACTGTACCTCGAATTATCGCATAGCTCGAACAAAATTTCCGGTACAGTCCTTATCGAAGTCTTATATTTACATCGCCTAACTCGAACTGTAAATAATGGATCTTGAAGGAGAGTGTGCCTTAGCAACTTTCACGGAAACTTGAAGATTTGAAAAATAAACGCTTTTTGTGGCTTTATCTAAGGGTGTAACACAAGGTCTTTTATTGTCGTGAGATCTTCTATAGGACCGAACATCG